CTGGTCATGGACTTTTGCATGTTTTCATATTCTTCCCTCTGGCGTTTCAGGATGGGAGCTTTGGTCTCCACCTCCAGAACTATCTCATCCAGAACCTTGTGCACATGCTTGTTCTCCAGCTTCTCAAGATGCAGCTGGTCTTGCGCCTCCACAAAGGCATTATACAGCTGAGAGCGAATATAGGAAAGTTACTCAAAGATACACATAGTGTCACAAAATTCTGAATTAGTTTGTGATAAACATCTTTTATACCTCCATTAGCTTCATGCCGGGCTTAACAATCTTGGCCACTGCAGCTGCAGTTGGGGAAAGGTTTGTCAGCTCCTCTTCTGTGAGAGCTGGAACGCCTGTTGAAGTACACAAATACAGAATGAAGTCTTGCACAATGACATGATTCAACCTAAAATCTTCCCATAAACCCATAAAAAGTTAAATCTAATTACACTGAAATATTCTTAAACCTAAAACAAGACAGGGTTTTTTTTTTGTGCTCATTACCTCTCCTCTTTAAGTCTGCAAGTCGCGTATTGGCATTTTCCAGCTCTTCCTCCAGATGCCCGACCTTCTCATGTAGATCAGACTCTGCTTTCTCCCTCACACTCTGCAGCTCTGACAGCTTCTTCTCTGTGCCTTTATTGGCTGTTGATGAAAGAAGCAGAATGTCTGCTTAGCAATGAGAGAAAAGTTAGCAAATAAACCCAAAACAAGAAAATGGATATGTTCAGAGAAGCATGCTACAATACAACATCTGCAGTTTACAGTATGCATACCGTGCACAGATTTTGTGAATGCAATATACTACACACAGTATTCTAGGTATTATATACCACAGTGCAATGCGCTCAACCTTCTTGTTCTATCGTAATGGTTGAAACAGAAATATTTGCTACAATCTTAAGCATTTCAACTAATATTTTAATATGAGTAAAGAAGAAATTAAGTGAAAATTTGTGTAAAATTAGATAACCTTGTATAAAATAACAAATGGATAGATAAATAAAATTAGACTGCATACAAAGTATATACTACCAGTTCACTGAAGTCCCTGGGAATTGAACCCATGACCTTGGTTGCTAATGCCATTCTCCAATGTATGAGCTACAGGAATGAACAAAATAAATAAATATATTAATTAACTGAAGCATTTTAAATTTTCACACCTTCCATCGCCTCCTTCAACAGTTTGTTGAGCTCTTCTACAGCTCTGCTCAGTTCAGCGCTCTTAACTTCAGAGTCTGTTGCTGCATTCTGTGAACACACAAAAGGATTCAGATCTTCATTATACCATACATTAACACTGGACCCTGCACAACAAATATCAACATTAACTGACCTTGTACAAATTACAGAGTTTGAGGTTAGCATTCAGCTCATTGCGATACTTTTCCTCCATGGAGGCCCGCTGGACTTTAGCCTAAAAATAGAAGACAAACAATGCAACCTTTATTTCATTTCTATTTCATGTGAAATGGTAAACTTCATAAGAACGGGAAGGTAATAGTGAACCTCTTTGAGTTTGTTCATAAGATCCTCAGTACTCTTCTGCATGTTGTCATTGTTTTTCTTGAGCGTGTTCACTTGGTCCTGAAGTCTGGTCACCTGATTAAAACATACAGTACATAAGATTGCTGTAGATAAGTGATCTAATAAGAATATAGCGCAACTGATAAATAAGGCTCTCAAAAATCCCTCACACCTCTTCCTTCTTGCTCTCTAAAGAGCACTTGAGCTGCAGGATCTCTTTGCCCTTGTCTCTGGATAATGCGTACAGCTCATCTGTCTTACTCTTCAGCTCTGAATTCAGCCACGTGTTCTGGTTCTGAAGGAGCTCCTTTTCTTGTTCCATTCGTTTCTTACGATACTGATGAGAAAGAACCACAGTAAACCTTTCGAATAACCAAATCGAAGTATGGACTTAACGATCAGATGAATTATTTCATTGCAGAGAGAATAGCAGCTAAATGAGAGTCACTATTCACCTGAATGGAAACCTCAGATGACTGAAGTTCATCTAATTTAAGCTGGAGCTCCATCTTGATTGTGTTGGTCTCCACAAGTTTGTCATTGAGACGTTTAAGATCCTCTGTATAATAACATTAAGACACACTTTAGCAGTTTTGGATGTCAAAAGCATTGGTACTTTAGGACTAAGTACCAACTCAACTTCACATGTGAGCAATCAATTTGTTTCTAACAGTTTACTTGATTAGAACTAAAATTAATTCATTTACAAATACTTAATGACTACATTCCACTGTTTTTAATTTAATTTACACTACCGTTCAAAGTTTGGGGTCAGTAAGATTATTTTTTTGAAAAAAATAATACTTTCATTCAGCCAGAATCATGAAGGTCATGACCAAGATTTCCATTTCAAATAAATGCTGTTCTGAACTTTTTATTCATCAGTGAAACCTGGAAAAAAACATATACATTTCCACAAAAAAGCAGCACAACTGTTTTCAATATTGAAAATAATAAAAAATATTTCTTGAACAGCAAATCAGCATATTAGAATAATTTCTGAAGAAACATGTGACACTGAAAACTGGACTAATGGCTACTGAAAATTCAGCTTTGCATCACAGGATTAAATCACATATTAAAATATTCAAAACAGTAATAAATATTACTGCTTCTACTGTATTTTAATCAACTAAATTCAGCCTTGGTAAGCATAAGAGACTTTTTTCAAAACCATAAAACAAACCTTAATGACCCAAAACACTACTGAATGGTAATGTAAATTAATATTGAACTTTTTAAATATAGAACAGAGTTCAAACGCATAATAGTTTTTGCTATGGTATTGAGAATTGTGAAATTGCAAATTATTAAACAACTTCGATCGCTCATGCAAATAAAAGTGCCAAAAATAACTCATACCGCTGAGGTTTTCCACTTCTTGAGATCTCTTCTCAAGCAACCGCGAGAGCTCTCGGTTTTCTGCCTCGATTTCATATTTGGCTCTTGGCGGCTTACTCTGAACGGCAAAAACATTGGGATATTTTCATCATCTTTAACTGCTCAAATATAAAGGTCCATATGAAGCATGACAGGTGAGAGACTCGTAGTTACCTCTTGCGTTGTCCCCTGCTCTTCCTCTATATCTTTTAGCTTCTTAAGTTCCTCGGCTTTAAGAAAGAACAAACACACTTACGTTATACAGCAATACAATCCGCATATTAAAAACAGAACATAATGCACAGTACTTACCAAGGCGGCCGTTCTCCTCCTTAATACTGTGATACTCTTTACTTTGGGACAAGAACTGCTCCTGACTCTCAGCTAGCTTCTTCTCAAGACTAAAGTACTGTTGTTCTGTTCATTAAAAAATATGTAACATGTTTTTACTGGGACAATTCATACTGACAGTTCATTTGACACTTCATGAGATTGCATTTATGAGCAAGACTGCTGGTGTAGAGAGAAAGAACCATTATACAATTTCATTCATTATGATTTATAGGTTATCGAGAAAGGCTTTATATGCTCCGATGGCATTCTTGTTATTTCAGTATCTAGAGAGCTGATCAATAGCACACACAAAGTTCAAGTTGAAAAAAACAACAACAAAACAGACAAACATGGGGCACACGTTTTCTTTGGTGTGCCACTACATCTTAGAAATAACTATACCAAGAATTTTGCAGTAGACAACTCAGTAGCTCACTTGTGCAGAGCAAACAAGCCATTCCAGAATAATTAAGCAGACAACTTGTTCCTCAAAGTCTTGGATCAGTACAAATGCATTTATGATGCCTAAACATGCTGTCTAGTCAAGGCAGTACACTCGTGTTGAATGACTCTCTGGCCAGCCTGCTACCGTTAACGTTACTCACCGCAGTCTGCTTTATATCGCTCGTGCTGTGATTTCAGCGAGTCTATTTCCGTCTGCTGCTCTGACAGAACTTTCTCGAGCTTGTTCTGAATTGCTTTCGGCAGTTTGTTTATCTCGGTTCTCTCCAGCGCTTGCTGAAGAAGTGCCGCCATCTCTCCGACACACTGCAACAGTTAGCATTAGCGGCTAGCTGCCCTTACGTCATATTTGAGCGATGTCAACTCAAGCCGCAAAGCAGCACGGACCTACAGACGTGTTGTCCAATCAGGTCTCTTGAACGGAGGAGCGTGTGTTTTATGCGACGAGATGCCCACAGCTGTCTGAGGAAGTGTGCGTGCGAAGATTTGCTGCTGCTGCTCTGTTGCTATATTGCAGGGATCCTCAAATCTGGCCCACGAGATCCACTTTCCTGCAGAGTTTAGCTCTAACCCTAATCAAACACACCTGAGCATGCTAATCAATGTCTTCAGGATCATTAGAAAATCACAGGTAGCTGAGTTTGATCAGGGTTGGAGCTAAACTCTGCAGCGCATTGAAAAATTAAGATTTGAAGAACCCTGCTATGTTGTATGTTTCCGAAGATGTCATTGTTTTCTATGTGTTTAAAGAAGTTTACCCTTGCATATGTATTACTTTTTGATTTCATTTAGAGTGAGACATTCAACTGCTTCTGCTCTTCATTTTGTAGAAACAGTGATTGCTCAAAATAAAATATACAAAAACAACTATATTCGTTTTTCATACTGTGCGTTATAATGTGTGTTTCCTAGCGATTATTGGCATTTCTTAGTGTTTTATTTTTTTAATAATTTCGACAAAATAGCACAGAATTATAATATTGGCCATTTATTGGTTATCGGCCGTAATATGAAAATTATTTCACACAATATTTGTCATGATCAAAAGGCTGACTAAATACATTTTTTAGTTATTTACTGTCATTAAATAGTATGACACTCGTTTAAATTCTCTTTTGCACTTAACGGATAATAATAGTCATAATAATAATACAATTTCCCTTAACAGCAGCAATACTTGTCCGATTGTAAATATTTTGTCAGTGAAAACGCAGTATAAATGTATAACATTAATTTGCATCTGTTTTGTAAGTGTAACATATGTTTGGTAGTTATTTTGCAGTTGCAAAGCAGGTTAATATGGCACAATATTGAATTATTATTATTACTTTTTTTTCTTTTGCGTGTTTAGAGGTAGAATGGGTAGGAGTTACTTTGTAGAAGAAACTGTGGAGGAATATCTTGTTGGGCTTCAGACAGCTCCTGGGTCATGTCTGACCGGACTCCTGGCTGGTCAAGTAAGGAAACTAAACTCATTTATATATAATAATGTCAGTACACACAACTATTTTCCTTACCTTTTCTTTTCACAGTCCTCTCCTCAGAGAGATTTTGTGGTGCTGGCTGTGCAGACTCCTTACAGAGAGAGTGAGGGGCAGCCGAAGGCTTCGAGAGGGGTCAGCCCACTGGATGACATTGATGTTGGAGTGGGTCACAGAACATGCCAAGCAGGTGATTAGCCTGATGTCTTATCACTTGCACGGTGGCTTTGAAATGTTTTACTGTGAAGTTGTACAATTAAGGATTTTGACTTTCCCTATTCTAGGTGTCCCGCATGTTACCAGGAGGTCTTTGTATTCTTGGCCTGTTTTTAGTAACCCCACCTGAACTCTCCAAAGATGCCCAAAATGCATTAAAAAGGGTATGGTCTTTGATGTATTTATTTTTTTTATCTGCTCATTTGTTTATTTGTTAGAAAATATTTTTTATTAATTTTATTTAATCAAAAACTATTTATGTATTATTAATTGTATATTTTTCAATGATTTAATTAATTATAATTAAAATATATTATACTAATCATTTAGTAATTGACTGGACCACATTTGATCTCATTTGATTAAAGATGATTTAGTAGGCCATCATCACTTAAGCACTTATTTCTGTGCTGTTCTCTTTATGTAGCTTGTATTTGCCATGGATAAATACATAACCAAAGGAAGATTGTGGGAATTGTCAGAGGAGGATGTGACTGATCAAGTCACCCTGCATATCTGCTCCAAAACAAAGAAGTATCCTTCACACTACCTCCAGCTATTACACTACATAATTGTTTATGTGCAGAACTGTCTGCAAAACATTTGATGTGAAAGATCCACAGGTAAGAGACACTTTTTTTGTCTTAAAGCTTGGAATAGTTTGGCAAATAGTGTATTTAGCTGTGTTTTATTTACTGTTGAATTTATAGAGTTCGGCCAAGCCAGCAGACTGGAAGTATCAGACAGGTGTCTCATCATCCTGGCCCATGTTGATCTGCTCTGTTGAGGTGGATGTGCAGGGGAAGATTGTGGGAATTGTCAGAGGAGGATGTGACTGATCAAGTCACCCTGCATATCTGCTCCAAAACAAAGAAGTATCCTTCACACTACCTCCAGCTATTACACTACATAATTGTTTACTCCGTGATCTAAAAGCATCATTCTGTATGAATAACCACACAAGTTTGCTTTATCCTTGACTTAAAATGTGCAGAACTGTCTGCAAAACATTTGATGTGAAAGATCCACAGGTAAGAGACACTTTTTTTGTCTTAAAGCTTGGAATAGTGTGGCAGATAGTATTGGATTAATCTGTGTTTTATTTGTTTTGCATTTATAGAGTTCGGCCAAGCCAGCAGACTGGAAGTATCAGACAGGTGTCTCATCATCCTGGCCCATGTTGATCTGCTCTGTTGAGGTGGATGTGCAGATCCTTGTGTCTTCTGATATCACAGACAAGTGCATGAAGGTATGAAGGGTGCATGGAAAACAAGGTAGTGTTTTTCTTGTGTAGGATATTGTGGAAAATGAGCAGAGTAGGTTGATATGTTGTGAGTTTAATCTTCCTTTGCCTCCCTTGTCCAGGATGGTCTTAGGAGGTGGGCTGAACAGATTGAGGCTGCTTACTGTCTCATAAATGGCAGACAGGCATTAGATGACTCTGAACTCTCATCAGGACAGGTAAAAACTTCACTCTGTCATTCCACTGTCATAATGATTCTTCATTTGAGTTGATGTTTGCTCTTTTCAGAAAAAGAACCCAAAAACTACCCATCGTCAGACACTGCCAGCACGGATCTTTGTCACTGATGTGAGCAGCTTCTAATAGTTTCTTCTGATGAAGATTATCAATGGTGCAAATATGTGTGTATTGTCAAATATATAATAAGTATATCAATGTCACAGGAACAGTCAGAGCTGGATGAGTGCCAGCAGTACCAGCAGTGCTCTGGTTCAGGTGTGCAGTGGCTCCGTGAAGGTTCGAGGGGTGGTTTACTGCAGGGCCTACATCCACAACAACAAACCCAAAGCCAGACATGCAGCACAGGTCATTAGAGCCTATTCATACTGCTCTATGCTTAGGGATGTGCAATATATCACTACCATATTGTTAAGAACTAATGTTTGATATATATCAAATATACTGATATTGGATATTTAATTGTTAGTGCTCATTTCCCCCTATTTTACTTTTAGATTACCATTGCCAATCATCTAACACTCACTTAAAATCTTTAAAACACTCATAATTAAATAATGCTTTTAAATGTAATCTTTAGCAAATCTCAAAGTAAACTCATTTTTTTATACTGTACATTATAATGTTGTAATGCCTGAATTCATTTTTTCAATTCATTCAATTCAACTTTTTTTCTTTCTTTTTTTTTAATATTCATTTAGACAAAATAATTTATTCATTTATCGGTTATCAGCCGTAGCATGAAAATTATATTACACAACATTTGTCATGATCAGAAAGCTGACTAAATACACTTTTTTTCTGTTTGCCTGTTATTTGCTGTCTTTGAGAAGATTAATACTGATTTATATTCTCTTTGTACTGGTAGGCCATTAAGAGAGGCATCATAAACACGGTTTGCTCCAGAGTGGAGATGTTTCTGGAAGATCTTTTAATAAATGAAGGGAGTCACAAAGGTACAGTGGTCCATCATGACTTACATGTGCTGTTGGAAGGGATAGTTCACCCAAAAATGAAAATGCTGTCATCAGTTATTCACCCTCAAGTTGTTGCAAATGTTTATGACTGTCTTTCGTCTGAGGAACATAAAAGAAGATATCGTGAAGAATATTAGTAACCCTTTCAGTCCATTGACTTCCATTGCATTTTTGTCCATATAATTGAAGAGGGATATAAAAATGGTTACCAATATATCTTGTTTTAAGTTCCACAGAATACAGAAAGTCATTCAAATTTGGAATGACACGAGTGTGAATATATGATAACAGAATCTTCCATTTTCGGGTGCACTATCCTTTCCACAACAAACTTTTGCAAACACCAAATTGACCACTAGATGGCAGTAGGTTGCCACAATTGTGACCCTGGAGCACAAAACCAGTCATAAGTATCTCGGGTAAATTTGTAGCATTAGCCAAAATACACTGTATGGGTCAAAATTATACATTTTTATTTTTTGCCAGAAATCATTAGGATATTAAGTAAATATCATGTTCCGTGAAGATATTTAGTAAATTTCCTACCGTAAATATATCAAAATGTATTATCATTAGGAAAATGCATTGCTAAGGACTTAATTTGGAAACCTTTAAAGGTGATTTTCTCAATATTTTGATTTCTTTTAGTTGTATCACGGCCAAATATCCTATCCTAACAAACCATACATCAATGGAAAGCGTATTTATTCAGCTTTCAGATGAATCTCAATTTCAAAAAATGTACCCTTTTGACTGGTTTTGAGGTTCAGGGTCACAGTTGTCTTCATTGAGTGACATCATTTTGTGCATAGTACAAAAATAAATGTATTCATAATTCAAGACATAAGTTCCCATATTGTTTGTCTTTGGTCTGTGCAGTGGGCAGCAGGCTCTTCCTCGGCGTGTGTTTGCACCAGTGCCCATCTCCGGCCTGTCTGTGTGTGACTACATGTTTCCAGATGAAAGTACAGCTGATGTGGCCGAGCGTCTGAAAGAGATGCTGGACTGCGAAACACCAGAAGAGGACATAGATACTGGTTTGGAGGGCAATCAATGCATGTTTCCCATATGTGACAATTAATTATTATGGTTACATATGGTTAATTAATTATCTCACTTTATTTGAGTGTCTCATGTTATAAGATGGCTTTATTTAAATAATGAAACGTCAGTACTTAAGGAATCGCACTGTGGTAATGGTTTGTATCACCTCTAGGCTTTTTTAAGTGGACCTCAGATGTGTCACTAGGGTATTGTGCAATGGAATGCAAGTCCTTTCAGAGTCGCTAGGATTCAGGGATGACTGAACACAAGTATTGTAGGGGCTTTATGGTTAAACGGTGAAGAATGTGTATAGGTGTGTGGCTTATAGAATACCAAAGGATAAACCTTGTCAAAATAGGTGCATACAGACCTTTTGTGACACACCCTGCCTCATTTCTCCTCCAAAATAATAGCCAGCTACACCTTGCCTCTTGTTCAGACCAGTTTAGGTTTGCCCTCAAATGGTTTCCATGTATGGTTAAAAGGAAAAATGTGGAAGAGGTAATATGACTAGCCGCCGGCTATCTGATCCCTTGTAATAACAAGCCCTTTGGGGAACTTTGGAATATCGTCTCTGACACAATCTCCACCTTGGAAAAAGGGGATTAATTTCCTCTTCTTTTTTTTTTCCTTGCATCATTTCTTTCTCTTCAGTGCCACGAGTCTATGATACCTAGTAATTAAATTTTGTACATGTTTGTGCATGTTTTATTTCCAGTATTTTCCGATGTTTCTGGATCAGAGATAACTGACAGCCCCAGTGATGATTCTAGTAAGCATGTCATCTCAGAAGTCCAAGCTGAAAATCCTAAAAATCAGAAAGCCCCTCAATATTATGCTGGTAAGTGCTTAACATTATTCATAATTATTCATATTAATATTGATCACTCTCTGTTTCTCTATGAGTAACTAATTTATTCATAAAATAAGTCATTCTCTTTCTATCATGGTATTAAATGGGGCTCAACGATATAGTTAACGATAACATTACGCTGTATAATGAGACAGTGTGAGTGACTCCATGTTGGTTGTTAGTTGGGCTGATGTGACCATATTTTTCTTTGTGCAATTCCTATAATTCTTGGAGACATTCTCACATTCCCAGTGGTCCATTTCCACCTACCTGATGACTGATGACCTCTCTTTCTTTTCTCTCTCTCTCTCTCTCTCTCTCTCTCTCTCTCTCTCTCTCTCTCTCTCTCTCAAACACACGGGTG